AAAAAAAAAAAAAAGCTTAAGTGAGTTAATTCAGCCTGATCACTGATCACCTGCTTTATGGAAAGAGCATGGTAGGTACCTTGGGGGATATTGGGATGAACAAGATGAAGTTCCTCTCTTCACCAGACATACACCAACTCTAACATAAGATAGAACTGGGATTATGTGCTACTGAAATTATAAAACACCGTGGGAGCACAGGAGGTAGAGGTTTTCAAAGGTGGCATCTGTGGTAAAGTATGCACAGGGTATTTGGAGTCTGAAGACCTACGTTTGAATCCCCAGTTCTATTGTTGGCTGCATTGATCTCAGCAGGGCACTTGGGCTTAGTTTGTAAAAGCAGCATAAAGAGAGCTGCTATAAGGAGAAAATGTATCATCGATCTCTCAGCTATGAAAAGCAATATAATTTAAGGTTGTATTTCAACTGTGAGGATCAGGGAATGCATCAAGCAGAAGGTAGGGGTGAGCCCAGACCTTGAAAAATGGATGGGATCCCAGCATCACATGGGAGGGCATTCTAGATGGAGGAAACATCTGAGCAAAAATGTGATGGGATGACAGAAAGGTGCAGTGTGCAGCGTGTTCTGGAGAGATGAGTGATGTGTTTTTGGTTCAACTTCAATTTATCTGAGCAGTGGAGCAGTGGTGGAAAAGACTAGAATGGTAGGTTGGAGTCAGATCATGGAGAGAGCTTTGAATATCACTTCTAAGAAAGTTGGATTTTGTATAGTTAGTGAGGAACCATTCTGGATTTCAAATCACTCAGTAGAGTAGATTGGAGGGATCCAAGCCTGGAGGTGATGAGGATATCTAAAAGGCCCTTTTAGAAGGTGAGATAAATGATGAGGGCCTGGTTTAGAAAGGAGAGAACAGCTGTTATAGAAAGTCAACTTGCTTGTTGATCACTGGCATCTTTGTCATAAAGACAGACCAGAAAATGTACGGCTGCACCACATCCTGGGCAGTCTTACCTCATTAACTTTCTTCAAAAGTCCAAATACTTCTTTTCCCAACTAGTGATCCCCTGAAATTCATTCTTTTTTACTGCCTCTATCAGTGTCCTTTTATACAGTTATTTGGAGTTTCTTCCCATCTGAATCGTAGTTGATGGGATCAGAGAAAACTTTCAGTGTTGGTGACGCTTCAGCTGAGTTTTACCAAATGTAGGGGAGGTAGCTAGGTAGAGCTGGGTGCAGGGATTGAGGGAAGAAAGAATGGAAAGGAGGAAGGAAGAAGGACAGTGGCCAGATGGATGAGAAACTGTTTTAGGCAGAGAGAATCATCGTATACATAAAAGCATAGTGACATCAGAGAACTGATGAAGGGACCTACAGGTATACAGTGAAACTGAAGTTATAGGCAGTGGGAGTTGAGGGGTTGTTGTCCCAAAACAATCATCAGGATGCTCGAAGAAAATATGAGCATTCCCATTGTGTTTGTTTTTCTCATCCTGTGAAGATTTCTATTTGGTAAGTGTATTTGATAATATGTATGTTTTAACAGTATAGTTTTATGTGTTTATTATTAAAATAAATATACATTTATGGGAGGGTGCAGGCTTTTTTTAACTTTAACTGATAAGGGAATGAAATCAGAACTGTTTAAGATGACCAGTTTAGTGGACTGGTGACAAAAGATGAAGTTAGAGAAATATGCAGCAACCATACATACTTACTTTTGGGACTTTGTCTTAAAAGTTGTGAGGCACCACTGAAGGATTGATTTTTAACCCCAAAATGACACAATTGGGTTTCCATTATAGAAAGACCAGTCTGGGAGCATTATAGGAAGGTCACTCTGGGTTGCATTTGGGTAAGACTGCAAGAAGTAGACCAGCAAGGCTTTGACAGTTGTCCAGTCAGGAAGTAGTGAGGATATTGGGAAAGCAAGGAGAAAGAGTCCAGAGGGACTCACCAGTCAGGTTGATCAGACGTTTGAACTGGATTGCAAAGAGAGTAGGGAGGGATCTAGGAAGACTCCAGATGTCTGACTTGGGCTAACAAGAGATTCTAGAGTCATTCCCTATTTGGGAATTAGGATAGAGTGTTTATTTGGGCTGTGATTAATTTGATATTTGACCCAAGTGGAAGTGTTGAGCAGGCTGATGGAGATGTAAATCTAGAGCTGAGATTAGAGGTGTGGGCTGGGGAATGCAGATTTGGGAATCAAAAGCTATAGTTGGTAGTAGAAACTCTGCATGTATTTTATACTAACAACAACAGGAGCAATAATAAGCAGAGTAGCTTCCTCTGGGACAGGTACTATGCTAAGCACTTTCATGCATTATCCCTTTTATTTTTCAGCTCAGTCCTAAGAGCTAAGAACTGTAATTATCCCCATTCTAAAGATGTGAAAGCTGAGGTTCAAGAAAACTAATGATTTACTCAAGATAAGAGTGGTAGAGCTAGCATTTGAACCATATTGCCTCTGAAGAATTATTTCTCTCACACTTGTGTTTTTTCTCCCTTTGCATGAGATTTGAAAGGCCTCATGATACTGTGGGCTTCTAGAATTTCACTGTTTCTCTTATCTGTTGTAAGAGTAGTCTGGCAGGTGTGATTACTAATACCATAGGTAATTTTTAAAATACAAAAAATTTCCTTTGTGTCTCCCTTATCTATAGGATAAGTATGCTTGAAGCATGTTGTTGGCTGTTGAGTTATAGACTGGGAAGAAAGAAAGAACCACATAAAACCAATTGTAGATAAGATAGAATAAATACAGAAGGAGTGATTGAATTGTTTTCTGACATAGGTTGTGTCAAGGAAGTAATACTAGAAAAAAGATGGTAAAGAAGAAAATACATCACACTGTATTGTACATCATGTGCTTCAGCTGTCACGTAGTCTCAAGTAATCTTGTTCCCCTCAGATATGCTGCTTCTTCCAAAATGATCTTTCACTGAAGGCAATTGTGATTTTTAAAAGTTAAGAACTATTGAAGCTTTATTAATTTCTGTTTTATAAGAGATATGACACCCAGGGATGAAGAGTTGAGCTCTTTTTCCCTTAGATGAGAATCTGACCTTTGGCAAACTCTCTCTCTGTTTCCCAGGAAACAATTAAAAATGGTGTTTGTTACTTGACAGTATTGCTTATGTACATGTAACTTGATTGGTAAGCTGCATCTGCAAAGGCAAGATCTATTAGGAA